GACCCAGGGCGAGTCATTTCAACACCTTTATTCAAAAGGTCATTTTTACTCCTCTAATGTGTCGTTTCGACTCTAATAGTCGTTTTAACTCCGACATTGGGTCAAAATGACAATTCGGAGGATTCGTTTAGTTCTTTTGAAGGGTCACAAGACTCTCGCAAGAGTCAATAGACTCTTAAATAGAGTTCACATGGAGTCATGTGACTCGTTCTTGGAGCCATATGACTCTTTGTTGGAGTGGTGGAACTCTTTCTTAGAGTCATTCTGGCTTTTATAACAGCCACTTATATACAAAACAAATAATTTGTTTAATATATTAAATTGAAGTCATTAGGCATGTTACATGTATTACAAATCCTTTGTATTTGAAGCAAATAACCAGTCAACACATTAAAAAATACTCATTTATGACACAAATATCATATACAAATATTTACATATAAAAAATATATTTACATATAAAATATATATTACACTGTATATAAGTTTTATGTTTCTTGAAAATGTCAGCTGGAACAGGATATGCACACATAAAATATATTGTACATAAATCCATTTTAATAATTCTTACTCATGCTGATATAAATCAACGTCATATTTAATATTCACAAAGGATCCATTGGAATTTACAGGATTTGTGTAATGCATTGGCATAAAAGATACAAGTTCTTCTTGTGTGCAAATACCTAAACTTATATCAATAGGCTTCTCCACCTTATATGCATGGTAATGTTCATTGAACTCTATAGTATGTAGTCTTTCAAGAATAAAAAACAGCTGTTTAATTCACCATCAACAACAACAATTTTCTTTATAACTGAAAATGTTGGTAGCAGATGCAGAAATCCATGCTGAACAACAGCTCCTACTTTGTACTTTGTTCCCAATATTATAATCCACAATGTTCTAAGAATAATTGATGCATAAATTATTTTAGGGCGAATCCATGAGTAGTGGGTGAAAGATTACATTATGATAAATGATAAAAACTCTTAAAATAGCAAAGTGTTCATTCGTTCGTTGAAAAATATTCATTCCTAAAATAAGGCATACAGTATAAATCTTTGTTTGATGTTAACCCACTAACTGGCAATGTGCCCTACTTATCTTTTTTTACAAACTTAAACTGGAGCTTAATGGGCTAACATGACAATGGTGATTGGACATTGCACCATGCGTAGAACACCACACATTATTTTGATTAAAAATGTTATCTTTAGCTGAAATAAAACTTATACATAGAAATAAATAAATAGTTGAAGTAAGAATTGGGCTGTTTTTATTGTACCTAGGTCATACATACTACTAGCAATATGTACAACAGGTTGCTCTAAAATAAAAATTAATGCATGCTTTTGACCAAAAGGAAAGTAACTTACTCATTAACAAGTGAGTGGGCATTTATGTTGACATCTTTCCCTTGAAGTAGTTGGAAATAGCTTCTGGTGCTTGCTTCATGTTGTTTACCTGTGGGATGATATTTTATGAATATATATACGCAGTAAAGGTACAGTAACGTACGTATTAAATCTAATATGTTTTCAAGTCATCTGAACTAGTCGTTATGTTTTGGAGGACAAGAGGATAAAATTGTGTTTGTGAGTGAGAGGGAGGAGCTGTGCATTGATTAGTATAGGGGATGTGACAAATCTGCAAATTTTCTTTACTAGTACATAACCCAACCTAGTTTTATTACAATAGTGACTAGTGAAACAATAAGACCCAGCCCCCTCTATTCAACCTCCTCCAACCCAAGTTAGTACAAAAAAGTGTGTTCCCAGTAACAAGCTTAAAAAAACGCAGGTCAGTACAGGTCAGAAAAGAATTTCATTTCGTGAAATCGTTTTTTCCATTTTCTACAGTCAAAATACAAAAGCATCTTCCACACTGAAATACTATGCAGTATAGTAGTAGTAGATACCACTTCAGTATAGTAGACACCATGGTCCGAACCACGATAAAACACTACATCTAAGAGGAACTTGGTATTTTTTCTTCAAATTAAATCTATTTTGAAATTAAGTCAGTAAAAATAGGAAAAAGAGTTTTCAGGTTGAAGAAAAAATTGGAATTTGCCAAAACTAATAATCCCATTACAGTGTTGAAGTTATAGTGGATATATTGTGTAAAGTAATTGGGTAATTAAGTGTAGAAAATAAAACTTTTTTCATCGTTTTTAAGGATATTGTCATACATGTAATTGGATCACTGATGCATGTAATAAAACACTGGCTAGAGCTTCTTTGTCTATAAAAAGTGAAGCTGGATGTTACTCAATTTGGTCCCCGAAAGCTGGAAGTAAACTTTGAAAGTACGAATATGGTAAACAATCTTTCTTATCTGTTATTTATTTTAAAATCCCCAAAATGTTTACCATATTCATTTTTGAAGTTTTACTTCCTCCTTTTGGGGTTAAAACCGAATAGCATCCAGCTTCACTTTTCATGGATATGGAAGCTCTATCCAGTATTATTAAATCAGTGGACTAGATATATTAAAATAAAATCATACTTATGCTTAACACAATTTTAACATATAATTTTAACACACCTGCTCCACACTCAATAGGTTTGTGTATGCCGCAGAGATTATAACACTGCTGACTCTGGTGTCGTTCAGCTAATGTCCATGGTAGATTGGTGTAATTACCAATGGCAGTAGCTAGTTGTTTGAAATAACGATGCTTGGCCTCAAATCTCATGCACCAGTGTGTTATCATTGGTCCTAACCTAAAGTATATATATACAAATTATTAATTAGTTGAAGTATATATATACTGCAAATTTTAAAACCATACATGACATTTTTACATAACAATAGCTAAGGTTACTGTTCATCTAGTTCAGGGAATTTGAGAGAGAAACATTTGAGATAATAAACAGTGAACAACGACAACGTTTTTGAGTTTCATTATTTAATATTTTTCAATTTGTTTGAGAGTTTTCAATCTGTAAGTGAATATTGTGCGGGGGGGAAAGGTAATATATCTGTGGGAAACATCATTGCCCCCACTGCGGAAGCTGAGCTATCTCAGTACAGACATTACTGTTAAATGAACAATGTTGTTTTCGGAGCTGTCAATTAGCCTTGTGACAACTTCTACAGTGTGTTCAGCAGTTAATACTACTTGGGTATATAGTAAAAACGAACCCGATTCTCACTTCAATTATTTATTTGTTTCTATGAGGTTTATTGGAGCTGTGATATAATTTTTCTATTCAAAAAAAAGCGCAATGACTCACTAGCACTAAATGAAACACAACACTGTACATCAGCCAGGAACTCAACAAATATATACAAGTTTAGTTTTACCTGATCATAGCACTTGGGTAGTGGACAATATAGTGCATTTTGGGTATGATAGAGCAGTTCGGGTACAACACTGTAAATTCTTTGTGGTGTTCTTCTATTAGTTGGGCTAGATAAGCAGCTTGATTTGCACTTGTTACAGGAGAGAACACAATATCAGTTATATCCAACATCTTTAGATATAGCTGCCATTTCTCATCATTCTCTGGAACTTTAGCTCCAACAATCATCGGTAAAAATCTACCCAGGCACACATCTGAGATGCTACAGGAAAAAGTTATTTTATATGTTATTCTTATGAAATACTACTGTATAGTTTGCAAATTAAAAGTTCATTTCACAACAAACTAATCAATGTTGTATGTTTCAGTTACATGAATCTGACAATTTGCCATATTCTAGAAAATACGCCATATGGTGTTCTTGAGATTGATGTATCACTATATATAGGGATGCAGCTGAGGTTGTTGTCAGGCTGTGTCAGGGAAACATAACCATACATAGTAAATGTGCTTTATTGCGTTCGACGAAGGAGACCAAATATCAATAAAAAATCAAATCATATCATCTTCAAATCCAGGCATGTGATCTTTATTAATTTAATTATGGTACATACCTTTTTGATGAAGATTGTTGCTATCTGAATTCAGGGTTGCATCTGAAATACCGATGGTTATTCTTCTCATTTGGTATCCGAAATCGAAACTCTCCAGACTGGAATTCAGGTATTGAAGATTGAAATATTTCCGCTCCTGAATTAGGTACTTCAAAAGCTCTTTAGCCTCATACTGAAGGCAACCTTCCAATATGTCATGCATTGAGTCACCTGGTAATCCACCAATGACATGGAAGTACCTGGACTGGCACAAAGCTGAGCGGAAATTTATGCCATAAGTTGAAGCCAAAGTAGGATCTTCATCAATCTCGTCACACTGATCATCATGCTCATCTGCAGTACGTAGAACAAACTGGTCTTCTCGAAACTGAAAAAAAGGACATTTATTGCATATGTTAGTAAAGATTTAGAATAAAGTAAAGTACACTGGTATACCCAGCAATAGTCCAAATGGAAAAGCACACATAGGACGGTGAGGGCAACGTTTCTGAATTTCAAAGGATATATCATTCATGAATTTACAAATGTACCAGAAAAGTGCAAAAAGTGAGTATCTGAGGTACATGCAGTGTCAGTAACTACAGCATATGTCAGTAACGTCTTTTGCTCTAATCTCTACAATGTTGAGTACTCTTAAGTAACCATATGGGATACAATGTAACGTGAATGTCAGGCCTTTTTTTTTTTTCGCTTAACGCTTTTCACCTTTTAGCGTTAAGGCGAAAAAATAAAGGCCTGACATTCAGGTTATATACAACGTAGATAATTAATTATACATATATACACTACCTTTGTTTTAATATCTTCAGTTTTACCTAAACAGTCTCTACATTTAAGATGGGAGCCAGGTCCAACTTTGAAGCCTCCCAGTTCTTGTGATCCTAAATTATCACCAGAGACAAATGCTATTGTCCCAGCAAATGATTCTTTCACACCCTTTATAGTGAACTGGTAACCACCATCTTGCTCGAGCTCCAAGACCTGCTCCATAATGGGTGCCAAAATAGCATTCATACCATATTTAATTATCAGTGGCCTTTTCACAATAGCTAACAACTGAATGGACTTTAGTTGGGAACGATGTACAGGACTAATGTTACCCAATGTATAGTAAAACAGTCCTAGAAAATAAAGAGTAAAGTTTATTATAAAACAAATGGGTGATTGATCCAATATAAACATCAGTCACACATACTTTATGGTGAAAATGGGAACAATATTAGCATGATGCAGCCTTTGAAACTCCTATTTTTCTGATGACAAACGGCATGCATGCATATCTTACAGTAGTTCATAATTATTTCTTATGCTTGCGTATGTTTATTGCATACATATAAGGCAATATATGTATACTGCAAAAGGCAGTCAAGTAGTGACGCATTGAAGCAACAATTTGAATATAAATTGGATTGGCCAATCACAATTAATGATCACAGAGCAGCTTGTAAACGCATTGGCGACAGCTTGACAACACCCTAGCACAACATTGACAACATAGCTCAATTGCATCACATATTTGAACTGTTCCTCTCAACAAATGCCGGAACACAACAATATTTACACATCAAGCCACAATGCATCCCAGATAATTTTACTTAATTGTCAATGTACGTACTTTGTACATACCTAATTTGTGCTTCTTGGTCTTGCTCCCAAGAGGGTTGACACATTCCACTTCGTCATAATAGAGAATGATTTGCAGCGCACTCTTGTCTTTTGAAAACAGTGGATGCCTTTGGAATAACTCACCATCGCAGAAGTCACAAATTCGACCAGGTTGTCTGCTTTTATGTGAATGCTTTATCTAAAAGCAAATTAATGACAAATGTTTGTGATTAAAACTGATATTTTTTCATTAGTATATTTTCACACTTTTTTGAAAGATACAGAAAGAATAAAAATGCTATGCTGCTATGACAACAGTCTACCAATACTTCATGTCCCGAAAATGAAGTTGCGTTCTTGGTTAAAAAGCAAGGGGTTGCTGCAGGTATGTATTTCTAGTTTATGTTAAATAAAAGAGTTTATGGATAATAAAGATCTACGGATAATTGTGACAATTATGTGACATTACCGTCCAAAATATACTATAATATTTACCTCATAAAGAATAGAGGGTTCATTCAGCATTGCCTCAAGGCTTTTTAGCAAAGGAATGATCACCATTTCATCAAACTTTGCACTTCTTTTTCTATGGACACCAGATCTAACTTGAACATGATTATGTCCCAGAATATATCTTTCAGGGTCCTATAGGTTCCAATATGAAAACACTGATATAATGGTATTGTGCTAGCTGTATAAACTTGGTACACAAACTATATTGTCTTGCATTTATATGTTATACTATATAGTAAAATTCTCTGGAATAAACACTAAGAGTACAGTAGTAACATACAGTATATATTGTACTACTCTAACTGTTTAAAATCCAGAGAATTTTACTCCATACATATATGCGAGACAATATAGTTACCTGGCAATTATAGAGAGAGCAAAATATTGAAGAATGCAATGGGCATTAGTGGGTTAAGGTATTTTTGGGGCAGAAATATAGCTGTATATATAAACTAGGTGTATGGGTCTGTATATCCAGATATAAGTATGAGCAGCTCTGCCCATATTCAAAGAGTGGAATTCTGCCTAGGATTAGGGTTTAAACACCTGTGGAGAAGGGGGGGGGCATGAATTCCAAAAATTTAAAAATAGGATCATTGAGCATTTCATGATTTAATGTACTAGGAATATGTGGGGTATTTGATAATCAATTGCATCCTTGCCCTGGGGATTTTGATTAGCATTTTGGGACTGAGTATGGGCAACATGAACCAAATTACTGTTATTATTAAAATTTATTGCAAATTGGCAAGGCATTTGACCAATATTTTTTGCCCGATAGCAGGGGAATTAATAAAATATTTGCCCAAAAAATCAAATACCCCAAATATGTACGCCTGATCTCCCCCGGCCCCCGGGCTTAACATTGATGGGTGCATTAAAAATGGGTATTCATAAAAGGAGTGTGTGATACAAGAGCTAGCTACAAATTTATATCAATGGACTTACCACAAGCCCAAAATTATCTCGAAAATAACACTTCTGTTCTGTCTTGGTTTGAAGGCCATTGAAAGGGTTGCTCTCATTACTATCTTGTCTGAACATATTTTCCAGTCCAGGAATGTCACCGAGTAGCATTCCAACGTTGTCTAAGCATTTTGTAACCCTATTTTTCAACTGTTCAATAGAGTTCTTAACAATGGACGTTGTGCAAGAGACAAGTGCATCAGTCGCCGTTTGTGTTAACCGATACATTTCCTTAGTCTTCAGTAGAAACAATGCGTTCTGCCTTTTCAAGTCGACATGATGATAGCCAATGGTCTCCTCATGATCATCAATCATCATACGGCATTGATCGTCTTGAATGTCTTCTTCACCATTCACCACATCATCTACATCTCCTTCTTTGTTAATAGGGATCTGGTCGATGTCTTTGTGAAAACGGCGCAGATGACTTTTGTAGCCTTCAAATTTTTTATATGATGCAGTACAACCTCCAACCTTGCATGTGACGAAAAAATCAGGATCGTGACGATGATACCGCCCATAATGGTTAATAATCAATGCCATATTAAGCGCAACAAATGGCACGCGATTGCCTGAACACATTTCACAGCTATAGAGCATAGCCATTTTTCAATACAATTATGAATTACATTTCCTTTTTTAAATTTTACGTCCAGCCATCGCTCTCTGCAGTCAGTGATATTAAACTGGAAATCTGGAATTATAATATTAGACAGTTTTGGGCGGGAAAATGTGAAATTACCCGCAAGATTCGGGTGGCATAAATTTTAAATTTAGATATAAAAGGAGAACATTGCCTTTTTTGGAACTATTTACAAGACTCCCGGATGTGGAGCGCGGTCGTGCTGACAGCTGACGTGACTTCTCTCGTCGTTTAGCTGTCTGGGCGGCTGGGTTTGTGTCACGCTTTTCTTTAAATAAAATATAATCTCATTTAATATTTATCTATTCATTTTTTACTGACAAAATGAATGAGAAACTCTCAAAAGACTCTTTTCCTCATGAAGTAATCGACTGGTTACGTAAAAACAACTTCGACGAGACTGTTGTAAAAGGTTTCGAGGTAAGTTTTAAAATGTTTGAATAGACTGTTTTTCAAAATCTTATTGTATTTTCTTTGTTAAATATTTAAATAGGTGAATCTATAAATGGAAAGGATTTTTTTGAGTTGGAGATGTGGATGATTGAGCGTATGATCAAAGGCATAAAAGAAGTAAAGAGATTCCGGACTTTGTGGTCAAAAGAAACAAGCCAGGTCTGCCAGTATATTTATATTGAGTTAACAAATGCTCTCTTTTTGTCTGTTTTTCCAAATAATTAGCCTCTCGAAGGATCAAAAAGTTTAAATTGACTTTCTGGATTAATTTTTATATTATTCATTATAAAAGTAATATTTTTTGTCGTAAAACAGCTCATAATTTGAGCTACAAAACTCGACGTTGCTATCATGCTATGGCAACAAAAAACAAGATGCGATTACTGAATTACTCTCAAAATGATTTCCAAACAAATTCAGATTTGTAAAAAATGATATTGATGGACTGCACCATTAATAATTACAAAAAAGGGTGCAACAAAAATGATAAAGAAAAAATAAGTGCAAAATATGATCAAGAACGGATGGATCATGTGACCATTGCCCAGACACCCATCAACCTGTACTCTGGATGAAATATAGCTCCTTCGATTCAGGTCCGAAATACCACATATGCAGTGACATCATGCACTTGTCATTGCAATGTACGCTAAGAATTGGTGTTGTTCACTAGCGCTGCCAGTGGGGCTGGATTACTTTGAAAGCTCTGGCATTATACTAACATATGATATACAGTATTTTCTAAGAAACCTACTATATTTCCTGACACAGCTAAATTATTTAACTCCTAGACTTTTGATGGAAATGGTATGCCTGTCCAAAGTAAACAACCTTGTGCAATTGTCATAGATAGTCATACAGATGATGCAGAAACTATGACCCCTTCCCACAGAATCGCAAACCCACCCTCGGCAAAAATTGGAACAACTCCCAGTTGTCATAGGATGATAGAACCAATATCTCCAGAGGTTCCTACAGAAGGTTCCCCATCAAATTTTACAGTAGATGAGATTCCTAAGGTACTGATAATTATTATTATAACATTCCAGAAAAGGTCAACACCTCCATCACAGAGAAAAAGGAAAATTACTCCTCCCCTCTCTTTAAGCATCCTTAGTACATCTTAGGAAATTCAAAGTTGCTTCTCCCTCCTCCTTTGGACAGATGAAAATTTCCTCCGTGGGGGTTGGGGATTCTGGAACAACCAATTACAGAACTATAGTGAATTGATATTAACCATTAACTAGCAATGCGCCCCAGTGCGTTTTTTTTTACAAATGTCAGGCGATTAATTTTACTTGTTAACGGGAAGCTCTCCAGGGAGCTTATTGGGTAATTAATTCACAGTTTAAATACTTAGTCAAATTAATGAATAATTGATTGTGCAATATTGACTGCATGTACATTGTTTTGGCCTAGTTATTGAAGATATTGTGAAAATTGCAGATCACTCTTTAAATTGCAATCAATTTCCAGTTATTTTACACTAAAATAACATAACAGTACAGTAGTGTGTATTAATTTTATACATAACATTAGCATATGTTATTGCATTGTATTAGACCCCATGTTCATTTACTGCAACATCAACAAGGCGAGGAAGGTCTGGTGAGAAAAATGTTAAGTTTGGATGGGTACAGTTCTTTGAAATTCCCGACAAGGTTGGTATACTAACAAAGGATGTTTTTATACAATACAATGTATTGTTGTATTGCAATGTTATATTCTTTAGTGCATATCTCAACAGGAAAAAACAACATTTCAACTATTAATAATTTATAACCACGGCTTTGTTATTTTGTTGTAGTTTTCGGTTAATGTTGAGATGGGACTAGCTTCTAAGAATTTGAATGGAAATCAACGCAATGAGTTCAACAGAGATATCTGTACTCTCATTTCAACCCATACTAGATACCCAACAGAAGCAGAAAGGCAAATAATTGCCCAAAAGATTGTTGCCAAATACCCATTTCTGAAAGATCCAAAAATTTGTTCTACATCAACTGAGTGGGTAAGTGATTAAGCAATTGAGTGTACGAAATACGGTATTGTACAACATGTTCACACAGTACTTAAAAAATGTCAATCATATTGGGCGGGAATTTAAAAATAGAGGACACTACAGTATTTGACGTTTCCAGGAACGATGACCACCCAAAGATTGTTCTGTACAAAGACTGCAGAGTTTTTCAGTCAATTATAATTCTCACCATACTTAATCTGAATTATAACAACCACCTAGTGTTCTTGACATACAGTACATAGGTGCATGCACATTGGTGTGCGTGAGAAGACAAAAAAAGATGTTAATTACTATCACTACTATGAAAATTTGCAATTTACTGAAATATTTATTTTTTTACAACAATTGTAATGCCTTGATCCACTGATGTCTTGATTCCATTGAGAACTGTTTTGCAAGTAGACAAAGTAAACATGACCATAAATACTTAACAAATTCAGTTCCGCTTTTGCCCGAACTTTTCTTCGGTTCTAGTCAGTTCCGGCTGGAACTTAAAATATCGGTTCCAGTGCATCCCTCATTGGATTCACATACAGTAGTTTGCAGAGCAACTCAATTTTTTGTGTACATTTGTTAGGGATCATGGGAACAAAAGATAAAGCACAGAATGAAACGTCTCCAGAGAAACCCTTTAAAGCACACACAAGACTGTAAGCCAAATACTGAAGGTGAATCAATTGGCACACCGGTAGTCAAGAAAAAAAATTAAATATTAAACCTTGGCTCAAAATCCCACCACTTGACGAAGGGGAAACTGAAGATACCATGAAGGAAAAGACTCAGCAACTAAAGAAAATCTGCCGAATTGCACGTCCAGATCAAACCTTGGTAAAGTCACTGATGTCATCAACATATCCTGTCAGACGAAAAATGATTCTTGAAGGGACCGAGAGCGTGGATAGTTTGTTGAAACTCTTTCCTCCATTGCTGCAACATATTCATGTAAGATAATAATCTGAACAAAATTTTCTTCTAGGAAATTGCTAATGCATTTTATATCTACTTTTTTTGCATCCTTCACAGTTTTAGAGCAATATATATGTTCACTCATCATCGGGCGAGTTTATAACTGGATGAAATGTCTTTTTAAATTAGTTTGAAATGCAGAAAATATTTCGAATAAGCAATTTTGAATTATTTTTTAAATATTTACCATATGACCATGACGTTACCTTATTTTAAAACAAAATCTCTTTACCTTTTCATGTCATGTGTCAATTTATTTCATAGCAACAACATGGCTATATAGTAAGCATGCATAGTTCAAGTTAAATTTAACAAAATCTATTTTGTATTCATTATTTAAAGCTGAAGCAAGAAATGTGCCGAGTCATGGGGGACAAAGATGTCACAAGATTAATGAAGGAACGCTTAATTGATACATGGCTTCCAAAAATATTATCCTATGTACAGAAGAGTGAAAAGTCCTCATTCAAGAAATTGGTGGAAGAGATGGACTCGGCGATTTCTGAAGATAAACTCAGTCCAACCGGTAACATAACTTGACCATTAAATTAAGCGTTTTGTATAATGCAATTTATATATTAAGTCAAATCTCTGACAAGGAAACTTCGTATAGTCTCATGCAAAGACTAAATAGATTTAAAGACTTTCGAATACTTTTTAAAATCACAGACGTTTCAAAGACTTTATCCGGTAATTATGCCATGCCAAATCCCGAAAATGCGCGGACTATTGGGAGAAAGATGCATCCCTCTTTCCCGTTTTCTCTCTGGAGAGAAAATTATTGGTCAGAGTTGTACAGTACGTGTCTATGAGCCTTTCCCTCGAATCGTAATCAACTCAAAAAAAAATCGAAAATCGTTTCGAAGACTTAAAGACATATTCTTTCGAAAAGAATTTAGAAACCGCCACAAACCTTTTCTTACAACTAAGGACCTGCCCTAAATACTCTCTGTTGGAGCCATATTTTTATACACCCCTCGTTAAAGTGTGTGTGCAACAATTTTGAATTTTACATATTTATGATATTCAGTACATTTTAAGATGAAAACGCAATATATTTTCTTAGAGAGACTTCATCTTCATGGTCTTCTTGGCTATAAAGTTGCCGGAGTATATATATACTGTAAATTTAGTAAGCGTTGCAGGCGCATAACAGTTAACATGCTACTGAGTTACTTGTCTTCAGCATTAATTTCTGGGGCCTTTCTGTGTTTTTAATTTTTAGAGTGCAACCACAGAACAGCAATTTTCGCCATTACTAATTACCTACTACGGTGTGGGGGTGGAAGGAAGAACAGCGGGGAAGAGAAGGTCCTCATGCTACTAAAGGTAATCTGTACTAAAAGTTGTATTGACTGTCAATCCCAAAAGATTTTTATTGACCAATGGCATTTGTACAGTAGTAAAGTAATTGCATTAAAAAACAAGCTTTAGAAGTTCCATCAAACCCCCTAAAAAACCCACCCCCTTTCATACAGATGCCTCTACTAAACCGTTCAAACACATCTATTATCTAATTTGACATTTTCTTTTTTAGACCAACGATAACATGGATGCTTTGATTAAAAACGCAATTTCGCCCATCGTTTTATTGAGTGGGTTAGATCTTTATCATCTAGATCTAATCTACATTGCAGGGGAACATAAATTGCTGTGTGACCTGAGTAAAGACGACAAACTTGTGGATGCTTTAGTTGCGTTGATATCGTGTTATTATGTGTATGATTTTGACTACACCATGGTCAAAAACGTCATGATTTTCCTTGAGCATGCAATGTTAAGCATTGAACCTTCTAAAATGCCAGTACGAGTGACGGAGGTAGTGCATGCTATGATGGCCATCGAACAAAACAATGAGTAATCATTTGGAACTTTAATACGGTATTATATATGTTTAAATATGTTTATATATTTTTGAATATTTATTATACCTATATTTGCAGACCTTAAATATCGGCCGGTCGCGGAGATTTGACCCATTGTGAATTGTGCGACGTATAGCGAGAAAAGCACTGTGTGTTCTGTCCGACCAATAGGAAAATTGAGGGTCGAGGATGGTACGAGGTTGACTAAACATATGGCCATTTACCATATTTTAATTTTAAAAATGTATATCCGACTCATTTTTTAAAGACACCGGACATTTGACAGATGGTCTGTTTGCCGATATTTTAAAGCCTGCATGCTATATATAGATATTTATATATAATTACTTTCTTTTAAAAGAAACAGATTTGCGGAATGTATTGTGTGTATGCTGTAATACTCACTGCACATACATTATTAAACATCGTTTACTCAAACACTCTGCTTTTGTATTTTATGCAAACTTCATGAAACTAATATTGGTGTACAGTACTATAGTGAAATTGATGCCGCAGATAGTCGTAATGACCCCGAATAAGAGTAAAATCGATGTCAAAAAGGAGTCAAAATGACTCCAAATAAGAGCAAAAACGATGCTAAAGAAGAATTCAAATGACCCCAAATAAGAGTAAATTGATGCCAAGGAAGAGTTGAAATGACTTTAAATAAGAGTAAAATCGATGTCAAAAAGAAGTCAAAATGACTCCAAATGAGAGTAAATCGATGCTAAAGAAGAGTCAAAAGACTCCAAATAGGAGTAAAATCGATGCTTAAGAAGAGTCGAAATTACTCCAAATGGGAGTAAAATGGATGCTAAAGAAGAGTCGAATGACTCCAAATAAGAGTAATATTGATGCTAAAAGAAGAGTCGAATGACTCCAAATAAGTGTAATATTGATGCCACAGAATAGTCATAATGACCCAAATAAGAGTAAAATCGATGCTAAAGAAGAGTCCAATGACTCCAAATAAGAGTAATATTGATGCCACAGAATAGTCGTAATGACCCCAAATAAGAGTAAAATCGATGCTAAAGAAGAGTCGAATGACTCCAAATAAGAGTAATATTGATGCCACAGAATAGTCGTAATGACCCCAAATAAGAGTAAAATCGATGACAAAAAGGAGTCGAAATGACTCCAAATAAGAGTAAAATTGATGCCAAAAGAGAGTCAAAAATCAAAATGACTCTTTTAAAACGACACTTTTGAGGAGTTAATTCGCATTTTAACTCTTGCAAGAGTCATTTTGAAACGACTCCATGGGTAGTCAAAATGACTCTAGTTAAAGGGTTAAAATGACTCTTTACAGGTGTCAACCCAAAATGAGTCAAAATGACTCTCTTCAAGGAGTCGTCCTGGGGTCAAGAAAACGACTCCTTTGAAGGAGTCAAAATGACTCTTTTGAATTAACAGTGTACTTTTAATATGACAAAAACGTGAAATTTTCGAAGCGCATCGTCAAAATTGTTTACGACGTAACACAAAGAACATGTGGATTATAATTTGCATCCTTTCATATACCTATATAAACTTTTATTTAGAACCTTAATTGCATTAGAATCTTAATTTCTTGCCCTTAATACTCTCGGAAGGAAGAACAGGGACAAATAATCGCAGGCGCATGATAACTCATGCAGTTTTGTTTGGAAACACAGTTGAGTAGTGACTATCCTTATTGCCGTCTGGGCATGATTAATAAATAAGATTAATATAATAGAGAATAATAATATATGAATGTGCGAAAATATGGAATTTATTTCGAGTGTTAATCGATAATAATACGCACGAGTGCATGTGATTTTTTTATATAATAAAAACAAAAATTTATCAAATTGCACAAACTTACTTGAAGCGATCTATCAAACACTTGACCATACTCTGGAAAACAACCTGAACGTGATTGCTTTCTTCGAAACCACTCGACGCTATGTTTCATTTGATCTTTGTCAACAAATACATATCTCTGGGCTCTCGCAAATGAGCGAACAACAAAAGCTGTTAACCTAAAGATAAAACAATTACAAAGATTAGTGGTAAATCATATAAAAATGCAGTATTAAACAAAAAAGTTAGTTAATCCATGTAAAAAAAGATAATAAAATATGTCTCAGGCCCTCGAGGTAAAGTAAATGTTATTTACATATTATTTAAAATGAAATATCTATGGAATTTTCTATTGTTCGATTTTCTTAATTATTGTGAATTCGAAGGACGAACATAAATTATATAGGCTTCCAATGTCCTAGAATTACGAAAATTGAACAATAGATATTTTATTTTGATGAACTAGCTTCTTTTAAAAGTATTCTGTAAGCTGTTATTTTACATATTAACTTAATAGATATTTTGATACAGGGACTTAACCCAACAAATAGATGAACGACAATAAAGGCAACCACAAACTGCGTTGTAGGTCTATAACCCATTGCATATGCATGTGAAAAGTTGGTTTTAAATTATGTTATTTCAATCATTTTCATACGAAAGGCTAAAATCAAAGACGATATTTGACCTGAGCAGCAAGGTTGTTTAATATTTAATTATATACGTGATAAAAATTTTTGCCAGTGACCAATTTCAACAGTTCTGGTGTAAATTGACTATTGCCGCGATAACCATGCACATGCACTTGAACCATCCTCATGCTGCCATTAACCTTTAAGCGTAGGACTAACAAAGCCATTATAGTCCTTTTCGGATTTGAAACCTGAGTTTTTATTTTTAACTTCCAAGATTAGACCTTTCTTTTAAACAATTGATGTAGGTATATTTTCTTATATATCTATAAATATCGCTTCATCCTATCGAAAGTAATTTGTTAAATGAAATTATAGTCGTTGGAAGATTAATCACCGCTCACTTACATTATGCTTCCTTTACTGTCGGAGTCTCCAAAGGCACTGTACGAGCCACTTTTTCTTTTGTACTTCAGCTCTCTTTGATACCCTACGGGGAAAATAATAGCGTTGTCAGTAGAAATATGCATGTTAATAAAAATGATTAGGTACAGGGAAATTTCATTTTACCACAAGGCCTAGGCCAGAATTCGTATATATAAGTATATAAGATAAAATTAGGTCAACATTTCTCGAATACCAGAGGATATATAATAAATTGCATCGTCTTTTATTTTCTTTGTCATTTGATTTGTGTTCGTGAGATAATCCATGATGTAAATATTAGGTGCAAATTTAGCCATGTTCTGTTCTCCGCAACCATAAGGCATTGCTAACAGTCCATCAAGGTTTGTAAGAGCAGGTCCCATCATATCACCTGTGGAAAAAAAACTCCATTAAAGCACCCCTTTTCATACAATTGTGCATAATTGCCTTGCTGTATGCAAAAACCTATAAGCCTATATTTTATACCTTAATGTGCCTTATGTGAGAACTATGATATTCATTGCTTTTTCTTTTTAAAAAATCAAACATCAGAACTTTTTCGCGTTTTTCGGTACATTCTTACAACTCTTTTTCATGCATGGCAAAAAAATATGAGCGTTTTTTTTCAAAAACAAGCGCAGTAGTGTATACTACATCTGCATTTTTTTCAATTGTTTCACATTTTTTTTCTTTTATATTCATCGCGGCTCTACTCATTCATCGGGCATCTTTTCCAAACTGATATTGGTGAGATCGCGGAAATATTAGGCTACGGTGTTTCGTTTCAATTTTCTTAGCTTTTGACAAAAATTACACATACGAGACTCTCTTATATTAAAATTACAGCTACTTAAGAATTGGAATCTATACGAACGCTCGTTGGCAAAATTTTTACAAGCAATGCTTAAAATGGAATGGAATTTTATTGTTTTCAATTAGCTTTAAAAAATGGAGGCTGTTTAATTTAACGACTTACCAATAAGCGATATTTTTGGTAGCACAGATCCTGAGATGATGTTAGTTGGTAGCGGTAAGTCAATCGTTTCAGCATATTCTTCTGGTAAAGGAGAAATGATTGGAATGAAAAGGAAGTAGTAAAAGGAAGTAGTAATAATTAATGACGAGCTCAGTCGTTACATGATCAGCATTAGTACCCTCCCCCGCGCTTTCTACCTATGGAGTGTTCGATGAAGTGAAAAAGCATCGAATACAACTGTAAACTACTTTTATGTAACTTAAAAGAGGGGGCAAACTGCGGGGCAAACAAGATGATTCAGGGGGAGGGGTGCAATCCTCCTTTTATGTATACGGAGACGTTACAATTTAGTGAAGTGTGCTTTTACCATTTAAAGAAGCGCAAAAGAATGTTCCTCTGGTGTATTGCTGCTTTATTCCCTCCGGCTAAAAAAAAATTATGGCAATAGGTAGCAAAAAAGGGCACCTTGCATTACATTAGTACGGACTAACTGGGGAAATCATTCCAAAATTAAAAGAAAATATGAATCTTCGTTCTAAGTAGATGTTTACCTCAACCAGCAATGTTCTTGTGACAGCATCAGCGGCGTAGAGAGTGGATTTAGGGCAAAGTTTTGCCTGAGAAGTCGTGGCTTTAACGGTAATCGGTATATGACCAAGTTTAGTGGGAATAACATTAAATTTCATCGATTTCCCTTCATCACTACACACGCACATCTTGCTGATGTGAATTGATGTAACTTTAAAATCACTGGTTTTACGAATTAATTCAAGTTTTATCTGAAAACATGGAAGTTTTTATAATTTTTTTATAAAAATTAAAATACAATTTGAAATAGTGCCAAATATAACGGACATGTGTCAGAGCGCGGGAGGATCGACAAACAGGCAGACATGTGGCAGACAAATGAGTGGGGGGACAAATATTTGTTCGAACGATATATTTATTTCATTGATTATTGAAAAAAAACACTTACTGGAATACAGGATGACATGTAGTTTATAACTGTCACTGTGATGGGTATTTCTTCCCCACGGATTACGGAATATGGCATCGTGATGTGAGCAAAAAAGGGTTGGAATGCTCTCAACGTTGCTTGATTTGAGATCCCCATACCGTACAAAGATGACATCGCAAAACCGTTTGCAACCCAAGTGGTGATGGCATCAGGAACTTTCATTTCCATCACATGTATACCGGAAGTGTCACTATAGAGAAAAATCACTGCCCGCATTAATCCCTTCGCCAGCGAAAGTAATCATTTTGCGCAAAGACTATAAAGAAATTACAACCGGGTTTTACAGAACATGCAGTGGCGTAGCCAGAACGATAATTGGGGGGGGCCAATATTCATATATTCGTGATACGCAGGATTAATTTCTTTTCAAATCAATTGTCTTTACAGTCTGTTAACATGAATATATGAATATGCCCCCCCCCCCCAATTATCGATGGCTACGCCACTGAGAACATAGCGAAATTAAAAGTTCTATCTTCTAAAGTTCCAAATTCTAGTATGAATAATATTAGTAAACACAATTCAATGAGAATGGCATTTTGCAACAAGTATTTTGTGAAATATCTTGTAAATCTCAATAAAAAAAAATTCACGTGGGGTTGTTGCATGCATGTATTTATAATATGACAATATTTACTTTAGTTTGATGTCTGTCCATAACCACGTCTCCGGAAAATATTTACGAACTGCTACTGGGGACTTTTTTCCTGTATTCTTTTCTTTCTTTTTAGGGGAAGTGAATTTGCTTTTGGGCTTCGTTCGAACGTTAGTTGGAGCCGGAGCGGGGCGGCGGGAACTGCTGAAAGCCGACATAGTCATAGGCCTATATATATACATAACTAGAATACAGAAAAGAGTTTATCAATATGGGCACGGGCAAAGGAGCAAAATTGACCTATGATTCTAAGGGTGATAATTATTATATGTTATTCTTCAAATATTTTCCTTTCTTTATAGCTATCCTCAATATATTTTGGTATGATTAAAAAGTATGGTAGCAATCTATCATATTTCCTCAAACTGTATGTCATGAAACCATAGCCATGTGATCAAATTTTTGCCTAATTATGACTATACATGCTTTCACCTACAGTCTTTTCGAGCCATTAGAATTATATTGTAATAGATTACCGCTTATTATTCCAACAATTGTATATAATAATGTAATGGTCCGCTCGGAGTTCCTTCAGCCTGGTGGCATTTATTTAATAGTTTTTTTCAATCTTACCATAACGTCGAGGGGTTTTCCAGCGAAAGATATACCTCCTCCTAGATACTTTATTACTTCTCCAATAATATCGTCGCAAAAATCTAATTGGACGTCGCATTGGTGGGGGAGGAGGACGAATACAAGGCCGAGTAAAAATCTTCAAATTTGAGACAAATTTGACACCAGCATTCTTAAAAGAAATGTGTTATAGATATACATAATATTATAATAAAAATAGAAAAAAAAAATATATGTATACATATATATATATATATATATAAAAAAAATGTAAAAATATATATAATATATATATATATATATATTAATATATATATATAATATATATATATATTATATATTATATATATATATATATATATATATATATATATATATATTATATATATATATATATATATATATATATATATATATATATATACACCCATTTGCAAAAACGTTGGCCGCAGATAGATAGATAGATAGATAGATAGATACTCGAAGTCTAATTAGAATGGCATATGATTACATTTACATGGGATACAAACAAAAAACACAAAGACATCCTTAGATAAAGAAAAATTAGTCTACTTTAATGTTTAGGTTATGATTTAAAAAATATTTGCTTTTATACTGGTCTTCCGCGGCTAATTTTCTTGTCGCCTTTGTGTGTATTTTTTTGACTCATAATTTAGTCCGTATAATAAACAGAACATTACACGGCTTGCTCGAAAATATGGGTTTTATGTTCTGGTGGCAAGAACAATATCTCACTCGTTCGCTGCCCTCACTTCTTGCCACTCGAACATGAAATCCATATCTTCTCGCAACCGTGTAATATCCTCTATATATTCATACTAACGTTAAATATTTGAGAGACTTGATCGTTTGTTTTGGCAGGCTTTCTGAAATACGAGGTACAGGTAAAGTACTGACGTGAGTCCATTGGACCGACTTCTTGTAGATTTAAAAAATCAATTGCCTATAAACAATCAAAAATTCTAAATTAGGAGAAAAATTTCAAAGAAATCAAACGATGCGTGAAGTACGTCAAAGGCACGAAAATCAAGACTTTTTGTTTTTTTGTTGTATGTTTGCTACTAATATACAAATTAAAGCAATGACAACAAATAAGTAAAGTTATAAACAATACAAAACGGCTAACGTCTATACCGATGTATCATAAAAGGTAATTCAACTTTGGCGCGCTATTGTTGGTGAACTATACCCATTCTATTAACGAGTTTTTTTCACATTCAGAAAGGTGAGGCTTTTAACTATTAAATGACATGTTTTTAATACCAAATTGTTAAAAAAATCAGAAAATAGGAGGCTGATAAAAAATGTTAGTCACAAATATTTTCACCTCTGAGATTTGGGTCTCTATAAACATTGAAAATTAACTCCCTTTGGGACTTAATTGAAGAATTTCGCTTAAACTGGCTGCATATGAATATTATTTAAATAGGAGTATTATTTAAATAGGAAGTCACATCAGGTGAAAATTCCAAGCAATGCGGCAGGGATGTCAACTTTGTATCGATAGAGATGGTGGTATGTTGAAGGCATCAACGAATAATCTCTTAAAAGAGTAAACGTAAGCACTTTTCCAATAAACATGTCGTAAAATCAGAGCATGCTGTAACATGCATGTACGTGATTAATTGTTTTTTATTTTGTTAAGCACTGCTTTAATTAGGCTCAAAGGTGAAAATATGCAATTGTGACTAACATTTTTTATCAGCCTCCTATGCGCTCATTTTTTTTACTATTCGCGTTGTATTAAAAGCATGTCATCCGACTACTACAAGCCTAATCTTTCCTAATTTGTTAAATTCTTTCATGGACTGAGTAGTTCACGTGCAATAGCGTGTTTAAGTTGGTTTACTTTTTTTTACACACCCAGTGCATATCTTGTGACATTAAAACTTGGCAAATTGTTGTTGGTTAATTTACATTTGAAATCAAATAAAGGCGTATTTTTCATTTCTGCGCAACAAAAAAATGGGTTCACATTTTGTCTTCAACAACATGGAGGCGTTTTAGACAATTTTGCACTATATTTTATTCAATAACGACGATTTTTCCGTTTTCGTTAATTCTTTTGTTCGTTTTTTCTAACATCATGCATTGTGTTGTATTGCTTTACTTATAATAATAATTTTATTGTGATGAATGCATTTTTTTATTTCTTCTTTTCGTGTAACTTTCGAAGCATATTTCTAATGCTAAAACCTGCTATTTCGTGAAGCTAAAGTATTTTTCTGTTTAGTCTATTAATGTCTATGGTATCACCCGTCCTAATATATAATTGTTCCTATAGTAGCTATTCCATACAAATTCTCCTTATTAGTAGCTAATATTTGGCCTAAATTATATAAATTATGTGATATTATAAATTATGTGATGTTATAATAATGGATACTCAGCAGTATTAATCACCTCCTTTTTTGAAATTTCATCTGATTCTTTCAAGAATAAAACACTTTTATCCAGGGCAGAAATGGCTACACGCGAGCCAGGTTTGGCTTTCATAACAATTGTTGTTTTTTCCCCGGGCTTTTTCTCTTCGTCCACGAAATTCACATGCAACTAAAAGCGAGCGAAATAAGGCAGCAGTTAATATCAAGCTAATTCTGATCAAACCCTAAATTGCAGCAATTCTTAATATATTGCTTTCATGGATTGGTATTATCTCATCGTGAATCTCAAATTTTGACCGCATCAAACAACAGGCAACAGAGCCACGCACTGCAGGCGGACAGGGTGCATTATTAGAGCTCTAGAGAGGTGAGAGTTACATGATATAATGTGCTTAGGTTACAATGATTATTAAAAAACATGTAAACATTTTAGAACTCTCGATCCTTATGCAAGATATACGTATATTTTGTCAGCAGAGTTATACCTAGAATGAATGAAAAAATATTACGTGTCTTCTGTGAGGGTTAAATTGCGATTGAAACAAACAAATAGCGAAAAAAAAATCATTTATTGCATCTCATGCAATAAAATGTCTGTTCCTTCTGGTTTATTTTTATCACGCCTTTCATCGCTAACAAAAGTTTTCTCTGTGTCATTCTCTTTTATAGCCATAGGTCGAAACGTCGATAAATATTTTTGTGTATTTAGGCAATTTTTATTTCGTATTTCGTGCAAAGCTTTAAAACACGCTCACACGTTTGGCCAAAAGCGGCATTTTTGTTAAATACCTGATTCTCAAGTTTATCTTCAACGTCATAAACAATACTGTCACCGATAGTCTCCTTATCCATCTTGACAAAGTATACCAACATTCTGCAACTCGGAACCATTTCCTGAGTAACATTGAAGTAAAGGTCAAATTTATTTATTGATCTTCCAGCTATGCTTATTCCGTTATACGTAAATTGTCTATGATTACGATTCGACGAATTTTTCAGAGTTTGCCAATCCTGTGTTCGCCAAGTAACGCCAGATAACAGCAGATTTCCTTTACACAAAATCTTAAAAACGATGAATAATGAGTCTGGTTACATTTAGCAAAATATATAGAATAAGTTGCCAGATTAATCTGAACATATTGTGTGAGTTCTGCCTAACATCAATATAATCCCACTAAACAATCCAGTGCTTTTAAAGTAACGCCAAATGAGTGTAAATAACCATGTCGCGACCATATTAATGGTTATGCATGTGCAAACAACTTTTCTTCGAATTGCCCCTTATGTACGACGTTAAAATGCTCGAACCTCGTTTAAGTCATATAATATTTTATAATTTAGTATTTGAAAATTATACTTTGTAAAAGAATGGAATATTTCTTCGCATGTTATCAGGGACAGTGTAAAAGACTTGCACAGATCCTTCGCTTCCGACCTGAAAGAAAACATGAGATCATCCTAAAAAATACTAATAAAGTTCAGAAAAAAGTGGGTCAAAAGCATGCATTGCGGAGTACAGATATATAAACGTAGTGTATGCGGTTTGATAAAAAGCTAAATATACTGATCAACCGAAATAATAGTGCATGCATACTATAACGATTGTAACGATTGTTAATATTCCATTAAATTTACCTTCGCAGGTAAGCCATGATGAGGTAAGACCAATTTCAAAAAACACAAACTTGGAGAGTACCAGGAATTGGAAGTTTTTTCTTTCAACAATTGGTCTGAATTGTAGTTGGCCTAAATGTTTAAAAAAATACCTTACAGTAATGCTACAGGTAATCAGTTTTAAACTCAACTTAAAGCAGGGACATTTGCAGCAATTCCACATTTATCCGAATCTTATATACCAAATATATTAATATATGAATATGTAATGAGTTCATAGATACATTTTTTGACGCTAAAAGTGAACCTATAAAATTTCCTTCGACGAGATCCTTCTTGAAGGAAGCATGTGTTCGCAGTTCTACCCGCGGTTGATCGTCATGTCACAAGATAAAATTCATATAAATCATACATCATCCGCATCGATTTCACAACGACGGACCCTACATGCATGCGTCTACTCAAATTCAACCGAAAAATAGTCCTTGTGAGGATTAATTGTACTACTAGAAATACATGCATGCAGCAATCCCTCGCCTCGGTTAAACAAAATTAGATAATGATTGTTAGAAATTTTATGTGGTTTCGGGGTTTTGGAAGGTACATGGTATGTGAGAAATAGAAATTGAGAAAAGTATGGAAATATTTTTCTGCACGTGGAAACTGTAGTCATAGCAACCTCACAACGGCCGTATATTTTAAAAAAAACAAAATTTACCCTCATATTTTTGTGAAAAAATGGCAAAAATACGACAAGATTCGTACCATTTTCTGGAAGTTAAGTTACTCTTCAAATTCAGTGTTATGGTAAATTATTTTAATTATTAAATACCATGAAATATAACATCGGACGTCTCATACAACGCTTCCTCTGGTTTTTGTACGGGAATGTTTTGATTTTGTTTTCTTTTTGTCATTTTGAAAAGGGAGTTTATAAATAAAATTATAAGTCGTTTATCACATAACACAATCAGATTTATAGTGAAATACATTTGAGAATATTAAAACTGTGTTTGCCACAAAAAAATTACTTTTTAAAGCTGTGCCGGATGAAATATTATCAAGTGTAAAATCTTCCGACTTCATCATACATGGTGAATTCGGTCTTGTTATTTGTTAAACCGTGAAAATTCCTGACCTGATTTGAGTTTCCCTCTAATTTCGTAAAAATACATATATTCCATATTTATAAAAATAAGAAATTTTTAAATTTCATCAAAATTTTGCTAAATGACAGTTATTCATTGACGTTTGAAAATACAAATTTTTGTCTCGACCAATCAAGAGCTTAGTAGTTCACACTAGCGTATGCGCAAAACGTAGAAGACCGTCCATTGCGTGAGGTCCATTGCGTAATGGCGGACGACTTTGATTTCGCGTTTGCATATCGTGGGTGTAAATATCCGAGCGGAATTAGTACCCTCGCACGGTGCTCCGCACCGGCTCGTGGAAAATGTTACAAGATTTGATAGCTGCATTAGATTCAGATTATAGCGTTACCGTAAAGGTGAGTGCATTTGCGTAAGGCGACACGTTCACCAGGGGGACAACAATCAAACCGTTTGCCACAGTATACCACCTGCGGAATATTCTTCTTGATGTGCGAACACTGTGCTGACGTTCAGACACGTCAACTCGGACTGTCCCATCAGTTACAGGTGTCCCATCAAGGTATTTAATCTGGACCTTAAAAAAAAACATTTCTTCAGTTATTCTCCCAGTTAAGTGCACACCGTTGTTACGCATGTCCGAGCCGTAAAAATATTTAATGTATAGCTATAATAATGCAAAGAAGCAAGAAAACGCAAGGAAATTAATTTAAAAAGAATGATGATTGTGAAAAAGGCAATAATGACTCTTCGTCGTCTTCTTGATCTTCTTCTCATTCCATAACTGCCGACTCAGAGCTCATCACTGGGGTCGTAATTACATGGTGTCAGGTGTGGGATACCTCAAACACTAATAAAATGTTTAAACGAATCCGCGGGAGAACTTTTAGTTCCCAGAACCTTTGTTGTGGCCCGAATGGAAACAACGATTTGAGCAGTACAAAAGCGCGGCGAAATTGAACAAAGAAGACGATGAAATTCAAATAAGTACTTTAATTGACTCTATGCGCAGAGAAGCAGAACACATCCACAGATCGTTTGCTTTTGAAGACGTTAAAGAGAAATACATTAGCACAGTTTTGGAGAAATTTAACGCCTTTTTTGCGCCTAAACGAAACGTTATTCACGAGCGAGCTGGATTTCATTAACGTCGACAACATGCAGGGGAAATCGTCGAAGCGTTCATCCGTAGCCAGTATGGATCAGCAGAGAGACGTGATTTTGCTGATTCAAGGGACGAGCATGCCGGGACAACCGCCATCCTTCGCAGTCCTGCATGGGGGTACATTGGTTGTGTGGGCGAGTTCACTGCAAATGTGTCATACACAGCGACGGACTATTTATACGCGTAATTATAGAATAATTATCTTTGATACAACGGTCTAGGCTTAAGTTAAATAAGTGGAAATTCGAATTCCGGAAGGAAAAGATAAGGATATTTGGCCATCAGGTGCGCAAAGAGGGCATTAAACCTGATCCTGATAAAGTTAAAGCGATAGTGGAGTTATCACCCCCAAGTTACCAACCTTAAAGCATGCATAAATTCACCACCAAACACCAAGTATTTATACATGGCTTTTATACTCTGAATTATAGCTAGTTATCATTTTATATACACAATTATCTCGTATTACGCAAATTCATCACTGCAGATATGCGAAAGATAGAAACGAAAACATGATAGGCTAGTTTTTATCGCCATACAAAAATTGTATGATTTACTGTAGTATTTTATAATTTTTTTTATTCCCCAATCGGTCAAAGTTGAATTCGAATTTTTTTGTAGACCTTGTATAGCAGTACTGTTTAATGAACTTTTAAAATATCCACACGTGAAGACAATTTCTAATTGCTTTAATTTGACATATACAATGCAACGTTTGAGGTTACGCATTGTAGAAACGTATCGAAAATGTATATAACAGAAAGAGCGCAAGTTCATTCCCAAGTGAATGCAGAATGTCGAACAAAGGTTTATCTTAGAACAAAATCAACATACCTTAAATTTTATTGGAAAACCAGGTTTGAATTTCTGAGGAACATCAATTAGTGACATGGCTTTAGACTTCAACACCAAATTAGGACTTCGGGCTGTTTCTTTTATTTTAACCCCAGTAGAGGTTTCGGTAAACATGGCATTAATATGTAAATGATATCCAAGAGGTGTTTGTAAATCGATTAGTTCTTTAGCATCAATATGAACACATCCTGTTACCTTAAAAAGAAAACACATAATTATTAGCTCCCGGCTACAGCCACAGCTAAGGCTATGAAAGCCTTAAATATACATATAGTAGAAATGGTAAAACGAAATAAATATAATTGGCGAAACCTGCTTATTTTAGAAAGATGTTCCTTTGACAAATTTCGAAATTTAGTTTCGTAATCAGAGTATAGTTTCACTAATCGCTATATATGCACCTACAAACGTTTTCAAATTTCACTAAAGTGCATCCTAGATGGTAAGCATGCAGGGAAGCCAATAAGTAAGGGAGTGGGGAGAGTGACAAATTATATGTTTGACTTTTAAACAACCTCATATGCCACCAAAGCTTCAGAAGAATGATTATTACATTAAAGTAGTTATAAAAGTTAAATTACATAAACTAACTATTGCATGTTTGCTATTTTGTGCCGTTTTTGCGAAGGTTTAACGGTCTCCTATTTTTTTCCATTCGGTCACGATGGTCATTGTTTCGTAACTTACAGAAGGCGTCACTGCAATAGTGTTCGTATTCAAATGCGAAAAAATTGTAGTAAGGCTTTTGTCACTAACTAGTGGCCATGATTGAGAGAATGCGCTCCAAAGAGGCATTTTTATATACATGCAGTAAGGGAAGAAATATAATTGTATAAAGCGTAAATGTACAATTTTATAACACCACGAAATAAGTACGGTGTTAATCAACCTATGCAATGCAACATGTTTGAGCTTTTAGCGTCGTCCATTGCTACATGTACGTACATTTTTGGTTTCTTTCAAACAATTTTGTTCCACTTTGTTGCTCTTGAGACACAATGTTGTTTCCAGTCGACCAGTAACAAATTTCCCGTAAGTGTACCTGTATTAATTAAACGTCAAAAGATACAATGAAACTTTTAAATTGACTATCCTTGCAAAAATTAAAAATTGACTGGTGTCTGTCGACGTTGTGGAATTATATGAAAAGTAAAATACAAACAAAGAGGACAGGAAACAGTATTCTCGCGAGTTATATAGCCACGAATGAATTACGAAAATGTTGGCTTAATGAAGGTAGTTATCACGGTAGGGTTCCATTTATACGGGGTTGTTAGGGGAGAAATATATGAAAAATCAGAAGCATTTAATATCAACTACTTTAATTTGCTATTTTTACTAGCATTAAACTTTTTTGTGAGTCATGTGAAGGAAATTCTTTGCTGACATTAAAGAAATTTGAGTTGTTCACTTTGGATCACTGTTTTGTCATGGCGGGCTTTGCTGCAAAATGTTGATCTTATAACTTATAAGGCTTTTGATAATTTTACAAATATTGATGTCGTGAAAGAAAATAATAATAGGCCTTATTGTATTCCGACATAACAGTGAGAAATCCGTAATCATTGGCGGCTTTCGTTGGTGTTCGCTCCGTATGATCTGGACTCGCATGTGCCGAGGATGAGTTTCTTCCATGAACGCGCTTGGGAATGTGGCGTGATGCGATTTACTTCATTTATTTGAAAATGTAAACAAAAAGTTTGTTTACATTACGACTGGACATCATCTGTAAGATCGTGATTCAATTTGAATTGATTTTTTAAGTGATACAACATCACCAAAGTATGATGGTGCTATTAAATGCCTCGACAAAGAGAAAACTACGAAATGTCATATTAAAAAATAATTGGCTTAAAAAATTCAAAATTAATATAATTATAAAAATTTCGGCTGTTGAAAATAAACTCCCTGTCAATCATGAACAAGATTAGATTAATATCGCAACATAACGAAGCTAGTAGAACATGGGCGGGAAGCGATTTGCAAAATAGTACAGGAGGCTAAAGAATGGGTACGGGAGGCGGGTGTTGTTGATTCCCTGTCCCCCAGATGGTTCATTTATTGAAGTTCATTAATTCGCTATGTTTGTTGCTCAGGCTTATACCAGCTTTGCTATAATATTTTGACATTGAATTTCTAAGGACGTGAATCATAGCTGGATTTACATAGCGGGGCAAAATCGTAAGGCTGATTGCGCCACTGTGTGTCCCCGATTTACTAGTGATGGTGCAAAAAAATTCTAAAGCTACTGCAATATTTGAACGTCAGAACCTACACACCATAAGTGTTTTCTATAATAAGTATACAATCCTAACCCAAAGTTACCTCGCACATATTGTAAAAAAATTTCCCGTTGATCCAATGCAAAGTATGCTGGTGGCTTTATGTCCAGTTCAAATTTAGGAAGAACTAAGTAAAGTAAAGCAAAATTCTTGTGGGCCTATAATAATGGATTTATATATTATTTTGGAATATTTTGCAGCTACTACAAGCGAAGTGTCGAATCCAGTGGGGATATAGCAGGGTGCAGAATAAATTAATACGGCTTAAAATTCGAATCGCATTGGCAGACTGTAATGTAAAAATGTTATTTTCAAATCTATAACTAATAGCGTTGTTGTTAAGGTGTTTAGAATTTAAAATTAAGCTATGTAATTTATTCTGCACACCCATAGATCCGTCACTGGTCGAATCGTTATTCACTGATTTCAGAAGTAAACTTACCATACTTGTCAATTTCGATAGCCTTTGTCACCGTCTTTCGCTAAATACCAAAATTCATTTTTTAAAATATATCACTCGGATCATCAAATATCATGGTTTAAACACGACAGCTGCCTGCTCATACGGAAATAATGTTGGTACAACTTTTGAAGCAATTACAGCACAGTCCAGAAATAACCCAACAAAAACCGCGGTTAACCTACAGGTCAAACCTAGTTTCAACCGAGGTCGAACAGCGGTGAGAAAAATTGGTCTCACTGAGTCACTGACTCTGACAGAAAAAGTACGTGCTCCTTACTAAAATCAAGCCGGGTTTTGTTACAATACCTTATCATAATACCAAACTTACGGATGCTTAAAATGTTGACGATTTGAATGCCTGATTTTGAATGCCTTTATACCTAACTACACATATACTATGCTATATACCAGTGCTAAACATATATTCAAGATTAATTTCAATACGGGGTACTTTTTTGATAATTTTTTATAGCCTAATTAAGACTTTATTTCCCTTTGTGCAATGGGTTTCCCAAAAACTCTTTGTTTTATTAAATGGTAATTAACGTCAACATGAAAAAGTTACAATTAGCCGTATTCGCTTGGAGAACGTATGTGCATGGGTACGTTTGATTACATTTAACGTTTCACATATCTCTAAGACATATTCATTAGGGAAGCGATGCCACTTGCTATTCATAATCCTATACTACGGCAATAAAATTATATATATCGACGCACATATACATCAGGGGCCGGTTGTTCGAAAGATGGATAACTTATCCAACGGATAAGTCCTATCCAACGGATAAATCTGCTATCCAGTGGATAGTTATCCATTGGATAAAAACGCGTTGCCCGAAGCGTGGATAGTGAAGTGGATATAGCTATCCAAAAGATAAGTTAAAATTTACCGGAAGAAAACAGGATTATTCTGAAATTTCCTACCACAACGTCAGGTGTTGCTAAGCATTTACAACATTGAATTCATAATCATTACGAATTCTCGAGTTTAGTTGCTGAATGGAAAAGACTTGAACAAGTGATTTGCTCGAACTTTGCACTTCACATCATAGTGATTTTATTAATTAAACACATTGCAATTTTATTCCTTGACTTTGCAACGCTTTGCCTATCGGTTCCATAGCAAATTTAGGAACACTATTTTAATGTTCGTGAATGAAATTACTTAGATTTTAGCAATTTTCTTTGGAATAGGTTGAATCTTTCTTTGCATATTCGCGTTTATAAACTGATTAGAAGCGTATAGTAAATTTACCGCCTGATATAAATGCGAGGATCTCCAAAAAATCGCTGCTCGGAACGGAATGTGTAGCCGGCAACGTGAAACGCTGCTGCGACAAATTGCACTTCGAAAACATTTCTAATAGTGAATACAATCATGATGTGTATTAGTTTGTTGAAACACAGTAACAGGAATATGGCATTTTTGTCCTATTTTATATAAATGTTTACAGTGTTACCTTGTATCTTTGAATTTATCCACTGGATAGTGGATTTAAACCACCTCCGGACCTTGGATAAATTTATCCGGTAGATAGCGATTTTCATCCGCTGGATAAAGTTATCCAAGCTTCGTGCAACGCAAATCACACGCTGGATAAAACTTATCCGTTGGATAGCGACTTATCCGTTGGATAGCGACTTATCCACCTTTCGAACAACCGGCCCCAGTAGTACAAGCTAATAGATACCTCAAAGGTTACTTTGATAAGCCATTTACCCAGAACTGGCTCTTTTGACAGCTGAAGTTCCAAACTTCCGACACCTAACAATTTTAATGATTTTTGTGATATCATTATAGTCGCATTTCTTGATCAAAATAATTATGATTTCATTACCATTTCATTGCAACAAGTACAAAAATAGTTTTACCGTCTTGTAGTTGAACATCGGTCCATTGCATAATCTTCGAACCACTTGGTTCCTATGTGACAAGTAACAAAGAGAATATTTTTTTTTGACTGTATTTCTAAGTTGACGTAATAAATTTCTGGCACTTTACAGTCGATTAACGCTGCCTTCACTGTCTTCAGCTGCATAAGAATCTTTGAATAACATTCCAAATTTTTGCCCAAGGTTTTCCTCTCATCGCCGCTATTAATGTGTTTTGTAAAACTAATATTATATTACTAGACCAGGTAAGGTCGTTATATAACAATTCACATATGCTAAGCATCGATGAGGTAAAAAAGTAGGTTTACATACCTGAATTATCACCGAAGAAACCTATTATGGCGAAAGAATAGAAACTGTTGGTTCGTGTTGTGAATCTATTACTTCAATTTCGAAATTTTATTGGATGAAAGGGAGTTATTGAGATGGAAATTTTATATTTATTTATTGAAAGCTTTCGTATGCATTTTCTGTGATGATTACAGATTTCGAAAATTAGTGTTTTAGTTTTAATATTTCTTATCCGTATGGAAAATGTTAATTATATTAATTACGATTGCGTCGAATACCTTCGGTCCACCGGGCCTCAGTTCAGCGTCCAAACATATAATCCGAATCAACACTAAAGAAAGAACGCTTAAATGATAAGATTACTTTTCGTTTCTTTTTTTCTTCCTAAATATCACCTCTAAGCTAATTGTATGAATTTTACTGATTGTATTTACTCCAACAAGAAAAATGGATGAACGGCTAAAATGAAATGCGAATGAAAAACGGCTACGAAGGCTGAAACGATAATTCTGATAATATATGCAGCGAGATTCTTCTTCTTCAGTAGCCTTTGAACTGTAGGATACCAAGGGGGATGTTGTTGTCGAAAGGAGGATAAAGTTATACAACTTTTTTCAACGATCGTGATATTCATTTCAATTTTAAAATTGTAATGTTCAATTTTGGCCATGCATAAGGAGTTAAAGAATCTATACACACAGGGGTAGATATGGCGGGGACCGGTGGGCTCAGCGATCCCTGAAAGTGCCAGTTATCTCAAGTCACACTTCTCTCTCCATCCCCCCCCCTTCCCTTCCCAAATGAGTAATGTCCATGCTCGCGATTATTCTATCCATACTTAGGGGCAAGGCAAGCTAGTTCAAAACATCAGTGTTTTGGGGATAAATCAGCAAGAATGCTGACAAACCTTTTTGTCCAGGTTTATAAATTGGTTTATCGGTTTGAATGAAGACTTTCTTTTGCGGAGAGGCTTTGTACGAAACTGCTTTTCTCATTGTTCTAACTCCACACACTGTAGCTTCAACCTTCGCAAGAGATAATCCTTTAGGTACCTGAAAAAAAAATCGGTGTCAAAATGACGATTGCGATTGCTGGAGTATTTGGAAAACATTTCGCTCGATCTTTTTTTGCAGTGGCGTATGAAGCACAATAATCGGAGTTGGGTGGGGGCATATTCATATATTCGTGTTCTGTCTGATTATCATTACAAGCAGTTAAGAAGCGGCCTATTTTTTAGACTTCATTTAATCTTCCTTCATTTAAATTTCACCACGGACATATATCAGTTTGGTTAAATTTGTTTTTTTGAGGATTAGAATTTCGGCGACTATATATATTGCTAACCTGAAGCTCCAGTGTTCCAGCTTCATTTGGTTTAAAATGACTTCTAGCGCGGCTCCTGACGACATTAAATCTTGAACCATACAGTCTGACCTCCACATCACAGGATACAGTACCAAAAATATTTATTCCCAGCTTGACATTTTCACCAGCACGGAAAACTCTGGGAATTGTGATCAAATAATCACCATTACCTAACGCACCACTTCTGTAAAATAATAAATATTATATTGCGTCAAGCTGTTCGTCCCTGCCCAAGATACAATTTCAGACCCCGTATCCGGACAAATTTGGAAAGGGCTAAATATTTTTGCCTTTTCTAAAAAAATCTGCATTCTCGTTTCTGAATCGTTTTTTGACGCCCACACGAAAACACGAAAACGATTTGAGACATTTGTTCCCTCGTTTTTTAAAACACGTGGAGGTAACCCGTACCAAAAAGATATTAATATTATCCGCTTTCAAATTTCTCCAGATTCGTATGGACTGTAAGAGGCGGATTCTGCCGCGTTCTTAAAAGTGCCGAGTCAGCTATGTCTTCAATTTTTTATGACGCTTATCAACCATTTATGTAAATTTTAAAAATACTGACTCAGCATCTTAAAAACTTACTAGCGACATCAATATTTAATAGACACCTGTCAATCATGTAAATTTCAAGATTGCAGAGAAATCCAACTTTTATTGACTCCTGTAAATCAATGCAGATATAGCAAGAGTGAATGATATGAACGGCGCATTTCTAAAATCATTAATTTTTGGTGACTTAGCAGATTTCAAGTTTAACCGTTGGTCTTTGGGGTCATGTTTGATATTTTTATTGGATAAAATAAGAATTCCTTTTCCCAAAAAGGAATTGGCCTATGGGTTGGGGAAAAAACTTTTTGGCTAAAAATTTTTCACTTGAGATTATTATATTGCTTTTTTGGGGTTTCTGTTTGAAAATTCGTGTGGTGAGATTGGTCTTCAACTTGGTCAAAGAACAAGAAAGTGGGTAAGTAATGATAAGGGAGTTTAACAAAGCTCTGATAATCATCATGGTGACTTGGTGAGTGTTTGACCTTCTGCATGGAGACAATTTTAAAAAACTTTTTGAAAACTAAAATGGATCAAAATGATTTTGAAAGAGAACATTACTATCATCTTCTTGCTGTCCACCAATCCGCACAATGATTTAGGAGATCGGGAAAAAAGCAAGGACTTGATGAGTTGATATCTCCAAAAGACAGGTTCAAAAAACCTTCCAACACCATAAAGAGGTAAAAAGAGGAAAAAGGTTTCGTAAGACATTTGTCAATGATCTCAGTGAGGAGGTTGAAATCGACCTCACTGACATGCAAAAATACAAAGAAAAAATAATGGTCAAGCGTGGATTCTTTCTGCGATTGGAATTTTATCTCGTTTTGCTTTTACCTTTCCATTCAAATGAAAGGAAAGATCCAACACTTGGTTTGCTTTGATAAAGGTCTTTGATGAGTTTAAAAAAAATATTTCGGACACTTCCAAAGCTTGTTCAAGCTGATCAGGGTAAGGAGTTTGAAAATCGTTTGGTTGAAGACTGCTTTAAGACAAAAAAATCAACTTTTTTCACAACCTTTTCAGATAAAACAGCGGCTATTGTTGAAAGACTTAATCGAACCCGTCGGTCATGCGAAAAAGAATTACTCAAATTCAATGCGACCCAAAAAGAAGGAAATAAATAACCACAGCTAAAAAGAGCATTCGTACGCGTAATCAGTATAATTGCCAAGTTAAACTGCAAAATGTCAAGTATTTCGGAGAATATAGGAATAGGAAATAGCCAAGCGTTTAACTAATTAGGTTACATACTTCTGGCCTTAGTAAAAAAGTATACAAAATTTCCAACTTCGCATGGCTGTATTTTCTGTTTTTTACAATATTTTGGAGCCAAACTTGGTAATTTTGCTTAATTCAGTATGCAATTTTTTAAAATCTCCTTTTTGTCGCCTAAGTCAAAAGTTGGTCCATTGTGAAAATTCCCATTAACAGATGCCTTTATGAGACAATAAAAGTAGACCAAGAGACAAAAATGAAAGCTTGGAATAACTTATTTGGAGACTGGTCGGGAAAGATCCTTGACTTCAGCTAATGTTTCTCACCTCAATCATATATTGAATATACACGTCGATAAATATAAGCGCCTATCCGACAGACTCTCCTTTATTCTCAAGCAATGAGAATTTAGTGAGTTGTGGAACCGGTCATACCTAATTTTAGTGTGCATTGATAACCAATTTGTGTAGTGATAAAGGAAGAATGAGCAGTGATAAAATGAGAAATGTGCAGACTTTAAAAACAAGGTTTTTCTGACAAATCTTGAAATAAATGACAAGTGATTACCTAGACAGTTTGATACCCATTTCAGGTGATTATGAATGGACTATAGAGATGAAAAAGGCTTTATACCGACGAGAAAGAAAGTTAAAGATGAAAAGACTTTATCAAAAACCCTAAAGATAAAATAGTGAAGACGTTTAAAAAGCAATCAAAAAGAGGAGTCGAAGATGAGAGAAACAAATTTTTAAGTGAGTTGGCTACGCTGAACAAACAAGCGAGAAAAAACCAACCAGACGAATTTATTAAAGCTCAACCTGGAGGCTTCGAGTCAGCTTTGCCAAAAATGAGGGACATTGGGTATGAGTTTGCCACCACAAGAGTGCAAAAAACAGATGATGATATTTTATGCATATGGGATTTTTAAAGCTTTAACATTTTTGTTAATGAAACAGAGTAATTGATATCCGGATTTAAAACACTTGACTTTTCCTGGAAAAAGTTTGACTTATCGGTACGTCCTTTATTGAAAAGGAAGATTCTCTTCGGAAAATGACAACTTTGAGACAAACCCAAAAATTTTGAAAAGCCTCGCTGAGTTTCATCTTGTTTATTGGAGAAAAGGACACCAAAAATAACCCAAAAACTTGAGAAATACATCGCAGAAAATGATAAAAAAATGCTCTTGGATCATTAAAATAAACATATATTTGGAAAAGTAACTTTTCATTTACGAAAGAACAATTTGGCCTTGCTATAAAAGAACTCAATAAAAAAAATATGAAAATGGAAATTTTAGAAAACCAAAGACAAGTATATGAGTAAATTTGGTGGGTTGATTGGGTACTGTTTTCAGAGGGTAGTGAAAACAATCTTAGTCGGTTATGAAAGAAAAAGGACTGGTTTGTCAAACCTGGAGATGAAAATCTTTCTCTCAAGTCAGCTGAAGGGTTTTTTGCTACTCTATATTCTTGGGTCCCAAGCTGACTCTTATTTATCGATTGTTGGGCAAGGGACAAGTAGTAGTCAAACAGAAGGTATTTTCAAAAAGCTTGTTAAGGATTGTGTTGTTCAAATTGATGACACCATTATGATCTCAAACACGAGAAAAGATATCCAAGACACTAATGTCACTTTAAATCTCGCTATTAGTCCTGCATTGATTAACCTACCGAGTAACATTGTAACCCTTAAACAAAAAATTCCAGGCTATAATAGAGTCTTAGCTATAGCGTCTAAAAAGCTGATCAGCTTTGGAAGAAATTTGTCTTTTAATAAAGCAGTTGAGAACTAAAAAATGTCTTTAGTATAAAAAGCTCAGGCTGATTACAAAAAAACTTATGTTTGAAAATGCGGAGTAAGTCGGTTCTTTGCTAGAAAAAAACTAGAGCCTAGCGT